TCTGCAGACGGGCTAACGTTAGCCCTGGCTTCTGCAGACGGGCTAACGTTAGCCCTGGCTGCTGCAGGATGGGCTAATGTTAGCCCTGGCTGCTGTTAGCCTCGGAGCTCCGCCAGTTACCGTGGTACTCTCAACTTTGGAAAAATTATGCATTAAATGGGTAAATGAGCCCTATAGTGAAGCTTAAAGTATTCTCGACTCAAATGATCTTAAAACTTACTTTTATTGAACAATGGCAACAGAAAATGACTTTTAACGTAATACTCTGAGCTCTGTGAGCCCTAACCTGGAAGCTGCTGCTGCCACAGTGCATGCTGGGACAGCTATCAGTCTCAAGAATGGACAAGTCTTCTCTGATGCATGCTGGGTAAAGAGGGAGGGGCCAGAACAACATCAGGGGACTTTATCCGTTCTCCATCTGCTTTTCTTGTTAATTGAAAAAGTGCTAGGGCTTAGGTTGATGACGTTTCACAAGCACACGAGGACGCACAAGTACACAGATTGAGAAATGTCCATAGACACCCACAATCCTAGCTAGTTCCTGATTGGCCCTCTTGCGTTGTGGGCGTGGAATAACAGCGCAGACCACGCTTCAAAATTGGGCATAAATCAAAAATCTGCATCATACCTGCGACAAGCTAACTGCGACACACTGCTGCAGGAGTTTACACAGCCCTTTAGATGTGAGCTTTACGGTTTACAACCAACAGATTCAGAACAAATAATCCCGATATGAACTAAGTTGTTTCTTTTCAATTTTTAGTCTAATGTGCCATTTAAAATTCCTGTTAGTATTTGTTGCTTCCAGTTTACAAGTCTGTTTAACTTTTCTGTTGACTTTGCTGCTATAAACGAAACATTTATTTGGCAAAAGAAACATTCTGAATAAGGAATTAAAACGTAATATATGGTAATGTATGCTACAACTTCTAATGCACTTTGAAGCCAGTTCTAATAATGTAGGCAGGGAGCAAAGTTAGAAGGGATTAAATTCATTAGGCTGAATCTTATTTACTGAGCTGGTGTCAGAAATTGGGAAAGTAAACAATGGAGAGCAACATGGAGGGGAGCCAGTCCATAGTCAGTGTGCTTTATTGTTTTAATCCCACATACCAGTGCTGTGCCATTTTTATTGAGGGTAGGCAGAGTGGTTACGGCTTGTTAGATCAGTGGCGACTGGCACAGTGCGTTGACGTCTGTGGAATCACGTAAATTAGCTAGTCGACCTGGGTCGGTCGTTCCCACTGTATTCCAATCAGAGCCGAGCCATTTGAAGGCCCCAAGTTCCTTGGGGTCCCATGAAACTGTGTTTCCATGTATGGTTAATACAACTATTCCTTATTTGTGCACATTAATTATGTTTTGATAAAATGCCATCAGAACACTTATAATAAGAAGTGTGTCTCAACCCCCCGCCGCCTTCAGTGTCCACCATATTGGATCAGTCCATTTGCTGCACATGTTCAGAAAGGTCCAAACAGACAGCAGCAAACCATTTGAAAACAAACGATGCAAAGAGCAGTGTTGCCACTTAGCGCTTTAGTCGCGATATTTAGCCACTTTTCAGACCCCTCTAGCACTTTGATTTTAAAAAAGCGCCTAGCCTAGCAGGACGGTCTCTGTGCGTCAGTCAAACAGACAGGCCTCGGTTCTGTGCTAGGCCGGCTCGCTGTGCTGTGAAGAAAAAGGACAAGAACAGAGGGACAAAACCTAGAACAAATAATGAATGTCTATTCTATTAACATTTCTCTATCTGTATTACCCCATTTACACTACCCTTGAAAAACCAATCCATGCCGACACCGGTCCGAGCTCGGATCACTTAACCAGGCAGAGCTTGGGTCTGACGACCGTTTACACATCACGCTATCTCGGTTCCTCAACTCCTCGCCTACTAGTGACGATCTGCGGTATTACTGCCAGTATTGAAGGAGGAAATCAAGCAGTTGGTGGCGGTAATGCACCAAAAGTTGTTTGTCAACCGCCATTAAAACAAAGTAGAAGAAGACAAAGAAGGAGGGAATCAAGCAAATAACAATGACGGCGCCCGTCACATTCAGAAAGTTATGCTTGATTATTATTGCTGTACTTCGGTGTTTGCGGAGGGTCAGGCGAAGACGGCAACCTTTCATGGATTTACTTGAGAAAGTCGGC